GCAAGGCCCAGGCCCAGCGCGGGCAGCCCTCCCGGAGAGCCCGGCTGCCACACGCTGGCGCTGCCGGAGCTGTGCCCTTCACGGCCTGCTCATAACTCTTTTCCTGGATGATTTCCCCAGTGCGCTGCAGCGCTCCTGTTGTCCTGCACAGAATATATTGTCTTTCTAACTCTCCTACAAGCAATTAATTATGTTCTGAAGCTGTCTTAAGATTGCCATAGTGCTTGTGCAATCGTGCTAGCAGTCAGGATAGCAGCAACACAAGCCTGTCCCTGGGGCCGTTCATTTCAGTCATCACAGGTCAATGAAGAATGAATCCCTGCTAAACCGCAAATGCCTAACGAGCACAGCCGGGCAGGGCTGTTTGATTAACCTTTTCAGTAGAAAACCACAAGACTGTCAAAAGCAAACCTTTCTGGAGAATCACTGGGGTGAAATTGTATACCAGGGCTTCTTGGCTCCAAGGCATTTGCCATTAGCAAGATATTTTGGCTAATATTTGACAAAATATTTGCCTGGGTATTTGTCCGTAAGCAGGCTCAGTAAGACAGTGTTTGTAGACCATTTCCCTCTCTGACCCTGTCAAACAGCATTTGCCATGGATCTTCCAAGCAGATGCCTGTTCTTCATAGCCATTTAAATACAGAACAGTAGCCTTCCGAAGGGCATCTGTACATACAGCAACAGCACGCAAAGCGTGTGACCAGCTGATCACCTTGGTCAAAATGCCTTTTCATTCTCATCACTGGCACTGTGGAGAGAATCTTCACAGGAACCACCCCTGGGTGCTGTTTTTTCCCTTATTCCTGTGCAAGTCAGTTCATCTCTGCATGGAACATGAGGCAATGTTAATAACTAGATGCCTGTAAGCACTCCATAGCTGGATCCTACTCATCCGCAACAAACACCCGAGCAGTATCCAAGCCTGTGTGTTAGACAGGAATGCAGAAAAAGGAGTTGGTTTGTCACTAAATGAGATGTTCCCCGTTGCTTCTGATTACTCATAAACCTAGGCAAGTAATCTGTTTGAAAGAGCTGGTTTTGTGTACAAACCTCTCTGCAATCATTTTTTATATATCAGTCATACTGAAAAAAGGATACCTCTCCATTTGCGGTATGTACGGTTTAGGCTTGATTTTTCTCAGCTTGATTGAACTCAGTGCTTTTGAAATCGGTATATCAGGAATGATTCAAATTTCTCAACTTTAGCAAATATTAGAACCATTTACTACGGTTACTTTCAGGGAGAAACGTAAATCACCTGGCAAGGGCATATAAAGCCATCAAAACACAAATGATTAAGCCAGTTGATGGGTGTAACTTGATCAGAAAATATAACATTAATAAAATATGCACAGAAAAATTAATAATTTACACTAATTAGAGGCTTAGGGGAAATAGAAAATAAATAGGTTCCTGAAAAGAGCTAAGGGGAAAAATCAAGAAGAATAGGGCTGTAAATAGCTGCAATTCTCATTTTCCTTGCACTGTCTGCCCACTCCAGTTTCCGTGTGAGGATAACACACAGTAAGTTTTCACATCCACTGAACACCAAGTGGTTACAAGCTGCATTGTTTTGTCATTCCTACAGTCACCTACTCTCTCTTCTGATCAACTCATACCCGTTCTACAGTATCTGCAGCTATTTTGTCACTACTGAATGTGTTTGAGGGACTACTGTCCCAGTCAGCTTATACAAATATATAGGCAAAAAAGAACCGTATTCTTTCTGCTTCTGAAATCCAAAATGTGATGTTTTATTGCATATTTTGTCATAGTCACTACCTGACACATTACCCAAACCTTCATTTAGACCTACAAACACAAACAGGGAAAAGACACACACGATACCTGCCAGCCTAAACCATGGGCTCTTCGTGGAAGGCCGAAGCTCCAAGCCCAGCTCTTGCAAGGGAACATGTACCAAACTCAGAGTTGGTGTTAACAGTTCATTAAATTTCATAAAGGTGTAAAGATAAATAATGTGTGTTTGACTTTATTCTTGCACATGACTGCAGATAATAAGCACACATAAAAAAACCCCATTAACATATATTGTATTAAATCCATGTATTCTTGGCAAACGCTTTCCTACGAGTACATACTTCCTCATGTTAACAAAATGCACACGCCACCTGGTACAGGATCTTGTACAAAATTATTAGGTTACCAGTACATAGATGTGCTTTAATCTTCTTTCATGTGAGATGCAACAATGCAGCTACTGCTTGACTGCATTACTAGAACTTTTCCTGACAGAATAAACTTGTTCTTTTGTCAACATTCTTAAAAAAAATTTAAAAAAAATCCTTGAGTTTAATTTGTCTGCTACAAATCTGCTCTGAGATTCCGACAAGCATCTTTAAGATGTTTGTAAAAGGCATAGGAGGAATCCAGACCCTCCTGTTTGCAGCCACAAATGCCTTTTGGCATCATGCCTCCATGCCTTTTATAAGCCCTTGCAAAAGGCACCCACAGGCTTTGCGTGTTGCTGAGCCCAATGCTGCTGAGGCTTCCTAAGCGACTGCACCTAAGGATCTGGCAAAAATAAGCTGTGAAAGATGCAGGAGAATGCCAGTGAGTCCTCCACTCCATCCCAGAGCTGGGATGTCAGACCATCTTGTTTCCACAGAGCTGTTACACCAAAGCCCTCAGCCTTCAGGCAGGATTAACCCCCATGTTCAGACAGTCAGGGCACCACTCAAAACATTTTACAGATTGCACAAAGTTTGCGTTTCTTTTTTTTTTTATACATAGTTGTTTAAAGTATAGAGATTTGCACAAAGAAATATAAGTGAGCTGTTAAAGCAGAAAATACATCTTATCAGTTTCAAAAGACACATTCAAAATATCAAACATAATTACTTATTATTTTTCTTTAGTTATCATGAAACTGATGATAATTGCCTTCATTCCTATATTTAACCCAGAAAGTATGTCCTTAGCAAACTGCAAGACTGTCTAATAAAATATGATATAAAATTTAGGACAAAACCATTCATCATTGTTCAATAGTGATCCGCAATTAAGACAGGTAAGAATTCTGATCTATCTAATCTATTTCATAAAACCATTATGTAACTCCAGAGACATTGATCAGCACAATAAATTTGCACTAAGACAGAGATGAGAAATGCAAACATAGAAGAACTTAAGGACTCAGTTTCAGAAACTCTGAAAAGTAATTCTTTTTATGAGCAACGACAGTTAAACATACCCCATAGGGACAGAAGCCTTCTCAAACTCAGTATTATCTTATGAGAGATTTAGATAATCTATGAATATTTAAGAGAAAGACATCAACTCACCCTGTCTACATTATGCTTATAATGTATAACTAGTGTTAAACATATTTTTGTTGATATGGAAAAAAAAGGCAAACAAATGCTAGACACATATAGACACATGCTATTTCCTTCTTTACAGTAATATGCTTTCTCAGGTTAAAGAATAGGATAACCCGAGGCATCCTCTAAGTTGTTCATGCATAAAATCACAAAAGGTGTGCCTGTGGATCAATAAAATTTTTGTTTCTAGGGCAAAAAGCAACATCATTAGTTTAGGGAAATTCAGATCTAATTTGAATCAAAGACCAAATACCAACTGACTTCAGTGACAGGAGGAACTGGCTTTTGGGATTAAAAGCTATCAAACTACATTGTGTTTTAGATCATCATTAGATTTTGTCTTGTAAGCATTGCTCAATATCATTGGTGCATGTAAGTTTTCCCTTTCTTCTTTTTTTTTCTTTATGTTATGTATACCAATAACAGATGACCAGGTCCGGGATCTGTCAAGTCAAAGGAACGCAGAACATGCACTGACTGTTCTTAGCAGGGTAACTCCCAAATCAGTTATTCAACAGGTAAGGAAGTAGAAAAATTAATTTTAATAATTCTTTAGTACCTTGCTAGAAATAGACTGTACTGTCCCCTGCGCTCAAGACTAAGGAGTTTAAGATAGGACCTTGTACCAATAAAAGAGGGAGTTATCAGTGTGGAAGAAAAACAAAATAATGCAATTACTTGGAGGTCTCAAGAGGGAGGGTGGTGGCAACGTCAGACAGTACCAGTTTAATTCCTTGTTAGATGTGTTGCATGACATTTTCTCTTTTAGCATCGTTAAACCCTTGTTTAAGGCAAAGCATGCAGGGTTTGGCAACAGATCTTGCAGATCAGGACAGTTGTTCTGCTCTGGGAAACGGACTGGGATCTGAAAGCAGTGGAAGAATACTAGGTCTGCTCTTCAGCAAAACAAAAAGCCACAGCATGTGAGTAATCGTATCTTCACTCTTAAAAGTATGTATTCAAGTCATTCTCTGAATAAAGACGGGATTACTCATGCGGGTAAGGTTAAGCACATGCTTTTGCTGAACTAATATATTTGGACAGAAGCTACAGTATTCTATGCCATTCTCTCTCTGCAAATACTGGAACACCCACAGAATTGAAGGAAGCATAAAGATTCCTTTCTGCTTTCCATGTAATTATTACACAGAAACTCCCTGAACTTAAACTTACTGGTTTTATCTTGCTTTGAAGCATTTTAGTCCTAATGTAGGATATTTTTTTGTCTAACACCAGGACCAAAATGCTATTTGACACTCTAGGACAATGCAGTGAAGAAAAATCTTTTATAAGGGTATATAAACCATTATTCTGGTTTCAGAAGTCATTGAAACTAATTTGACTGTGCAGATAAGATTGAAAAATGTGGCCACTAACCTCTACATCTTATAGAATATTTATCTACAGTAATATAGATGTCTTATTTTGAGGTATATGGCAAAGAAGTAAACAAGGATGACTTGTTTTGATGAAATTGTACCAGCTAGCATGAGGGTATGTGCCTAAGATTAGAAGAACTCTGATTTCAAACCAGAGATGACAGGGTTCACACAGCCCAGGCAAGAGAGAACTGTCTGAAGCTCAACAGGAAGAAGTTTTCTGTGCTGCTCCCCTCAAGCCAAGGGTGGCCAAGCAAAGATCCTCAGGCAAGGAAGGAACGCCCAGGTCTGGAGGTAGACTGAAAAAGGGGTGGTGGGACAGAAAGCCACAAAAGTAGCAGCTGGAATGATGCATTCCTATTTACCATCTTTCTGTGGTCCACAGTTGTAAGGCAGAATCACCACACCAGCAAGTAAGTGGTGTTGATCTACATGAGGTGTAGTAACAGCGGGACATTTACAGACACTTTGACTAAAACTACGAGAGTAACAGGTAACTTTTCTTTCTATTGATCAGTGTCCTCCAGCTACCATTTTTAAAACTGTATTTTTCTAACTGATTTTGTGTAGTATAAGGAAAAAATGAGCTACAGACAGCCGATCTATGAGAAAAATGTCTCTGTGTCTTCTACTCTGTGTCTACCATGTCTGCTACTCCGTGTCTACTAAACACTCACTAGTGACTAAGTCTACCTCTGTGCAGAGAGCCTGAATAAGACCCATTTTTCTAAACCACTAATAAAAATGCATTTGCCATTCAACAGAATGAATATACAAACTATTTGCACATTTTGCAAACTTAGTATTATTTTTTTTCAGTTTGAAGCTGTTCCACAGAATACTTTCCTTTATTAGTAATGGCATCTTTTCTAGTAGAAAACTTGGGAAAAAAATAATAAATTAATTTAACTTTAAAATTGTTGATATGGCTTGATGCAATGTTAAGGCTTCTCTCTTGAATCATAACTGTCTGAGTTTACTGTGTGTTGAAGTCTCAAGCCTGTAACTGTCAGCTGCAACAGGATGAGAGTGGACAGGGCACTTTGTGGTGGTGTTGCAAATCTAACAGCAGGAAATGTGAAGCAAAGATTTGGCATATTTTTTACCTGTGTGTAATCAGGTATGTTCCAACATTTACAGTAATCATTCTAACTGTCCACAGCAAGTCAGATAGGTTTTCTAAAGTCTGGGTAAGTTTGACAAGGGAACTAGAAATCCTATCAAATTTTATGCAGTACCTCAGTCACAAAGGTCATAAATACTTGCATTAATGAAAAGGCAAGACTGGATACAAAGTAAAAGGCACAGATACTATAGAACAGTAACATTTCTGGAATAAAAATATCTTATAAATTAGGTAATGATTAAAATTGGAACAGCCGTTTTGCTGTTGCTTTATTTCTCAGTGCTGACTGTTTTCTTGACCAAACATCTCTATCTTTTCTAATGCTGCACCACTGTGTGCTGGAGGAGTCTTTTCTGAACAGCTTTTCTTGTTTCTTCCCATTTCTGTAGCTTCCACCAAAGTATTAGTCAATGGTTTCCCCAGTGTTTCTGGAAGCATTATGGTTAATATTCCACTCAGAAGAGCCATGATTCCAACAAGCAACTAGAAGAAATAAACAGTAGCTGTAAAGATAGAAATGTCTTTCAAGTTATGCGTATCTTCAATCTTGCTTGAGAGTACATTTAAATTAAGCACAAGGAACTGTAATGTAAAGCAAAGACTGTAAGTCTTGAATGTTGACTGTGTAAAAGATCTGCCTTTTTGTTGCATAAATGAAAGATTGTGCAGCAGAACTAATGCAGAGCAAGTGAAGTGTTTGTTCACAAGAGATCAATACAGTGCAAGCAAGAATCATTTCAAGAAAGCAATACATATATCTTAATCTGGTATTTCTACTATCAGGTATGTATTTAAAAACTAATTCTAGGATTTCATACATTTATTTTTTCATATGTTTATATGTTCACAGAGCTACAATTTCCCTGCCACCTGTAATCCCAATTCATACTCCAGCTCCTGAACCTATTCCCCCTATACCTGTGTGCCCGTTCCTCCTGCACACAGCCAGACCAGAATTCCTCAGTATGGCTTGTTGGCCTGAAGCCACAAAGTGCACATCCCTGCTCTGGAGAGCTCTTCAGCAGATAATGAGCCAGCTCTCAGCAGGAACAATTTGCTAAACTCAGTTTCAAAGAGCTGTTAAGGGTGCAGGCATTAACTGAAATTCGCACTGGGGTCACATCTTGGATTTGCCCATGGTGTACACAGTTCCATAACAACAGCTTACTTCAGCATGAGTGGTGCAAGGATCATGATTATGTGGGGTAGATACAGAAGCACACACATGCCCCAGGAGTATCTTTTCTTTTCCTTAATTTCTGTGACTTGTTCAATGAGAACAATTCCCACTTCCTTCCTTTGAATACAGAACAGCATTAAAACCCTGGCATTCTTCCAACTCTAGGTTATAAATGACCCAAATCTCTCTTGATAGAAATACTTCTGCACAGTACATCAGGCCTGGCCTCAGTGTTTTTCCATTTTATGACTGTGCACTTTGATACTGTACTATCCTTATCTTGCCCTATGCTGATTCTCAGGTCTGTCCTGTTTGTTTAATACTTTCTTTCCAAGTGTGAGAGAGAACATTTGGAATCACTGTGCCTGTGTCTCACACAGAGTTTGAGGCAAGAACTGGCCAGCTACCATCTGCAGCTAAGCCAGACTTTCTTTTTAAGTCAGAAAGGTGCTTTAAAATGGAAATTCTCCATTGTAGCCTTGAGCAGTGCTATTTTCATGCACACGCACCATGCTGCTTTTGCTTCCCCTCCCTTCCAAAAGAAGAGGACAACTTGTCTGAAACAGAAGCTTTTATGAAGCAGAAGCCACACTGTTGCATAAACTCCTCTTTTTGCACTTGCATTAAATATAGAGGCTGACAAAATACAAAATTAAGCAAAATCCTGTCGAATACTACAAACTACAGTGGAAATAAAATACTCATGCTTTTACCATGAAAAATAAATGTAAAAAAATCTTAGCAATAATAGGACCACTGGAAGTGGCACTGAGTGGCAAACTGAGGGAAGTCCTCGTAGACATAAATATGTGGCAGGAGTGATCTTTAAAAATATATTCCAACATATTAAAGTCTCACCTCTGAGTGTCAAAACTCTTCTCCACTATCAAAACATGATTTTCTGCCATGGTAAGACAGGATAAATAGACACATGGCAGCTGTTCCAGTAACCTTTCTTACAGATATCCTTTAGGCTGTTGTAAGTTTATATTTAAGGATATTAAGGGCTGTAAAAGGTATTGAAGCTTATGGACACTCATACATTTGGAGTTTATGAGAACAGGGTCACTACTGACTGCCAACAGAACACGGTTAAAGTAACACTGTGTCCCTTGAGTATGCCTGTCTTCTCTGAGTTAGTCTTTCAGACATTGCATTCTTTTCATGTTTTCCTTCCTCATGAACCTACCTCTTATTCCCCTGTGAACTCTCACTATTCAATAAGTATATACACCACCAGCTTTCCTGCCTTTTCATCTCAGCTCTCTTAACTAACTTCATCACGTGTTAGTTTTCTTTTTTTTTTTTTCCCAATGGGAAAGCTACAGCATGCTGACTAATACAGTGTGCTTTCCCTCTGCCTGACCCTACAAAGCATTTTCCAATATTTCCTACAAAAGACAGACTATGAAACAATTGGGTCACAGTATATTAACAAAAGGACTTCTCAAATATCATCTACCTTTTTGGGAGCAGTAACCACATTTATCAATGAAGTTACTCACATTTAGTCAAAAGAAGTCTTTTGCAAACTTATCTTGGCATACTTCTTCATGAGGATTCTGACATAATTTAGCCTTTTGCTTGCTCATAAAAAATGTGTACATTTTATATGTATGTACTATTTTACATATATAATTCAGCATCGGAAAATGTTCTTCTGATATAGTCAATGAATTAAATGCTTATGGATTAAGCTATTGAATAAACTATTTAAGTATGTTTGAGCTCCACTGAAGTTAATTTGACAGAAGTACCTGCTTAAATTCATTGTTTTTTCAGGGTCTTACTTTGAAATCTGACTTTCTGCTTAGTCAAATTCTCAAAGTATTCCCAGCATTTCAGTACAGGCAGCAGCTTCTAACAGCTACCATAAAAATCTTAAAAAAAAGGTTTATCACTATTTTGTGTATGTCCTCCCTACGCGGAGCAAAAGTTTTAACTTCACAGTGGCCTAAGACCAGGACTTAATACATTCAGTCTAGGACAAAGATAATTTGAATTAAATATGTCTACAACATAATACTCTTACTTCTGAGAACAAATTATTATTCTAGTCTGCTCTTTATATTTATATCCACATGTGATATCTCTGAACCAATCTAAATGTGATCTTATTCACAGAATTCCTACTTCAACAAAAAAAGGTTAAATTTTGTCCTGAAAATCTATTAGACAAAGGATTTGCATTCGTTCTACTTTACTGACCTCAGTGGAGGTTTTTTAAATTTATAATTTATAGTTTATCTGAGAGAGAAATCAAGCCCAAGAGAGAAACCAAGCCCTGTTAAAGGGCTACTGTAACATAATTCTTAACAGCTTAGAAACAGAAATAGGCTATACATGGAGCAGTTGCTTTACTGTAAGTTTTCTAGAAAGTTGTCACATGAAAAACATACTTGGCAAGTTACTCTAGATTTATAGATATTCAGATGAGATGCTCACATTACTCACAGGTGGCATAACCATACATAAGGCAGATTGTCAAACAAATGGCAGTAGTAACTGCTTGACAATGTGTGGTGTATACAATAGATCAACACAATGCATATCAGTTTACTTACAAATGTAATCCATTTGATTGCATTTCCATTCCAAAACACTTACGTAACCTGAGACTTGCCACACTATGCTCCAACTCAAGACAAGCCTATTTAATAAACTGAAAAAAGTTTTATAATAGGAGTTAATAATGAAAACATATTCACTGTGAACTATTACACAACTCTACAAATACTTTGATACTTTTTTTACACTGAGTTCTTCATAGCTGAAATAATCCTCTGTTTATACTGCTATTTGCACTGCCCTCCAGCATGTTTGAGCATTTCCCCATCTGTGGTTTAACTGCAGTACTTCTGCACAGATAAAGCTTATCTCAGCCAGTAAAGGCGAAACACTGACAAGAGAAAAAGAATGCTCTCCCATGACCACTCTGTTGTGCAAATGTTTCTTTGTCTTTCCTGGGATGATATCCTCGCTTGTATGGGAGCTTGAGGGAATAAATTAATTTGTGGTCTCCTTCATCCTCTTAATTTTAATGCAAAACAACTGAAAGTAATTAATTCAAATAATGGAACGAGTTCCTGAGAATAATCTGAAACCAACCTCTAGCATCTGTAATTGGAAGATTCTATAGTTGCAAAATCAAAGGGACACAATTCCACTTTTTCAGGAAATTCCAAAGTGGTAGACAAAATTAGAATAAGATTAAAGACACGTCCCATTACATTTTCACCTTCCAATATGAAGAAAAAACCTAATGGTAGCATGACCTGGAGTTACCTACAAGTAGATTGTGCTTAATGAATCTACGGTTCTGTTGCTTGTCTAAGTCTCCGTGAACCTCAACAATGTACTGTTTGCTTCTCTTTTGCTATCTCATGAATTGTTTTGTTCAGTTCTTGTAAATGAAAAACACAAAAAGGAAGCTTTGGGTCAGCTGTGAAGACCAAGTATAGTAAGCATAAGACATTCTTGATCTTTTGGAAGGCTACTGCAAAGATGCAATGAAAAAACAGCCATCCACAGTGAATTCCAAAATGGAAGAACTGTGCCTTTGAAAAAGGGTTACAATAAATCAGGAGCATGGTCAAGAACTTCTAGGCCTGCAAACTAAATAATTATAGACTAAGACACTTCCTAAATGTTATATAGTAGATGAAGTATATTTTGGTGGAAAGTATTTTTAGCAATTTTATACGAGGATTCAGTGCATAACTATTTTTATGTCTTCCATTTCCACAGATTTCAGTGACTCAAAGTCTCCCTTTTGCTTTAGCTGCATATTTTTAACAGTATGAAGTTACTAATCTTTGAGACTTAAAATTTTTAACAGGAATGGTTCGTTCAATTTCCTTCTCAAGACATAAGTTCAGTTTTTGGTTCCTAAAAAAAACAAGTGACACACGTGCATTTTCAAATCCAGAAATGTTCACCACTGAAATAAATACTTACAAGTGGCATGAAAATCCAAACACTTCTCAGATATACACAGAAAGGAGCAACCACATCATCATGCTTCCACTTCCAACAGCAAGTGATCTGCACATAAAACAAAGCCTTTGATAAGAATAAAGATAAAGGAAACTATTAGAACTGCACAGCCACTTGAAACATCAGTAGGATACATGTCTTTAAGCAGTTATACCAGGAGGCTATTGCTACACTGATGTAAATTTACATTGTAACAAATTCAGCTGCTTCTATAATAAATATTAAAAAATAGAACCATCATTCAGCATAGATCACAGGATGGATAACCAGGACTTTTAAGAAAGGCATAAAAAATGTTTAAGAAACTATTGAGTATTCTTCTAGTTCCCATTGAGTATCCTTCTAGTTCCTCAATGAAATCAACCAATGCACATGGAATGAAAAACAGGTAAAAATTTGTGGTACAGCCAAACCCTAGACATCTCTGAAGCAGGTGAGGAACTCATCCCATCCCAAGTTTTTCAGACCACCACCACCGATGCCAAGAGCTGCTTGCTCAGGCACAGGAGCGTAACAATGGAAAAGAAGTAAATCATTAAAAAATACGTAACTGGCAGAAGTTCTTACCTTACAATTGTTGGGTATAGTTCTGCTGTGTAGAGATATATAAGGCCAAATGCCACACCTATGGAAAATTTTCCAGCCATATTTGCCAAGATAATTAATATATTGAAATCCTATTGAAAGAGAGCACAAATAAATAAATTATCAGAAAATAACACTGTTTCAAACTTCATTTAAATCCTTCAAAAGCTGTGACCCTTCTTTGAACAATAAACAATACTTATGGTTTGTTTTTTTAAAATCAGTCTCAAGTTACTAGTGTCCATATCATTTTTTACCAGTCCAGGTTCACTGAAGCCCTGGGAATATTTTACATGTGACTCCAGCAATGATAGTGAAGCCTGCACTGAAAATACAGAAATCTATCTTAGACTGGCAGCTGCAATTTAAAAACCACCTTTAATCAACTACATGATTTAGAAAGAGCAGCTTCATCTACATACTTAAGAGCCTTTAAAATTGATTTCTACTATAGGAACACTTTCAATAATACATGACTAACCTGAGGTATGAACATAATTAAAACACAGATCAGTGCACTTAAAATAAGGAACGGAATGAGTGTGTTTCTCCTTCCCAGTTTGTCCATCCCAATGCAAGCAATGATATAGCAAGGCAACTCCACAGCACCTGTCAGTATGAAATTATTTTGGTTTAAGTCATGACTACACACATCCATATTATAACTCTAACTTCCTCATTATAAAGATTAGTTTAATTTAGAGGGCAATAAATATGTGAATTCTAGAGATAAGCAGTGTGTTGTGCTAGTTCATTTGTTATCAGAAATGGCAACAGAAGGCAGAAAATGTGTCTTAAAATACAGTAGGAGGGTATAGAGAAGGACAAGCGAAACGAGTTTCACAGTGCAGAGCAGCTCTGTTTCTCTTTGGGTGGAAAATTACAGAAAACAGCAAGGCCATGACTCTGCTTTTATGACACTGGCACTTGTGACTGGAAGCTCTCCATTTGCTGTTCTTCTGCTTCAAGTATTTTCACATCAACAGCTTAGACATACCCACAAGGAATATTGCCAGTGTCACACCAACACACCTCTCAGGACTTGCCAGCTTCCACCTGGACATAGAACTAAAGCCATGCGTGCATCCCCCAGCTTCAGCCCCAAATCACCCCAACATATAAGGCAAGCAAGGTCTCTCCAGATCCAGTTTTCTGAGTCCATTAAAAGGAGGGCAGTTTCTTACAATATCCCACTCTTACTCAGATCACCTCTTTACAGAGAAAAACTTCTGCAGCTCTAAAGGAACTGGGGTTTGGCTACAACTACTCACAAACCCTGCATAAACATGATTTGCCCCTAGACAAATTATATTGAACCCAAGTCAGTTTGGACATGTCTTAAACCAACTTGCTAGTGAAGAATGCTACTTCATCCAATGTAAAATAAAGGAAGAACATAAGATACAGCCCTGTATCCCCTGTGTCCCTTTACTAAGCACATGTAGTATTACAGTTCCCTATAATATCAGGAAACAATCTTTTGGTTTAGTGTTGGTAAAAGCAGGTTGCAATTATTCTGTGTTTGTTAGTCTGCTAAAATATTTTTGGAAGAGGTGGATATGGTGATTTATGCACTGTACTCCACCATAACAGTTTACTTATCTGTGCCATACTAGCATCCTCTCTGCAGCATATCAATCTACGAATATGCTGTCACGCATGACAACACAAACTGAATTCAGAAGAGACCAGTCCTTCTGTGTGCTTATGTACATGAACAGTCACATTCACTGTCCTGAGAGTACTCAGTTGCATAAAGCAAAGTGCATGATTGAATTCTTTGCTGGCTCAGAGCTGCGTGCCTGATCTAGGGTCTTCTGAAGTCAATGAAATATTTCCACTGATCTTAACAAGCTTTGGGTAAGGCCTTGAATGCACTAAGCTGCTTTTATAAAAAACTTACATACTGGAGGAAGATTACAGCCAGACTGTAATTAAAATTAAAAGAATATTACAACTAAATTAAAAATATACTTTTGAGAAAACTAAAATTACTCTTGCTTCTGAGAATTATGAAACTGTTTTCTACACAGACACAAGGTATCACGACTATAAGTGATTAAAGGAATAATTTTTTTGTCTCGTTTTCCTAGTTTCTGCCTTTAGCAGAGCTGTATGAGTTTTGTGTTGCTAGACTGCTTCCCTTGGTGTTTGTGTAGATCTGTTATATGCTTGCAGGGCAAAGACAAGAAAAGCAGAATATGGTTTTAAAATCAAAGATAGACGGAGAAGAATTTTGTACACGAACAAATTTTAAATCCCCCCCCCCCTTTTTTTTTTTTCCAGAAACAGTGAGACTTGGAGTGAATGGCACTTCTGTGTTAGTCAACTTTCCGAAGAGTTAGCAAGAAACTTTTTGAACAGGGTTCATAACTGAATGAACAAAGTTTTAAAACTGGCTGTCAAATCTATAGACATTTCTAAATGTTGTGTTCTAGTTCTGTCATAAACAGAATAAGGTACAAAAATATTTACCTATAAGAAATAGATTTAAGTATTCATTGCCTCCTAGACTGACAGAACTGAGGGAGAAGACGTAGTACCCCAAGCTCCCAGTGAACCAGATCAGCCAGACTGTGATGGTCCTTCTTGCAATGTGCCAGTTACAAAACAGGTCTAAGATGTTGTGCTTCTTTGTTGAGGATGTGTCACTGTCACTCATTCTGCCACTCACTAGATCATCTTGTTGGACAGAGTAGAGTTCAGAAACTTTGCAGGGAGTGCTTACTTTATTCCATCTTGCCATTATATAAATTACTTTTTGTGCATCTTCGTATCTTTCCTTTGACAGGAGCCAAAAAGGTGTTTCTGGGAGCATCCAGCAGCACAAGATAAAGGGAAGAGTTGCTATAGAGAGAAATATCTGATAGACCCACCAGGTCCGAACCAAAAATCCCACGAGCGCCACAACCATAATTCCCATAGCAAAAAAAGCATGGACATGCATAGAAGCCCAGGTTCGTGCTTTAATGCCAACAAATTCAGTCACATAAACAAAAGCCACAACCAGATAGCCACTTGAAACCTAGGGGAGTGGGGTGGGAGAGAGAAAAAAAGAAGAATGAGGTTTGTATCTACTTTTCTTATACATCAGCAGTAAAAACAAACAGCTAATGGTGTTCCACATTCGTGTACGCTTAATTGTCACTGCACTGGCATGTCTCACACTGACAGAAAAAACCCTGAAAACAAATAAGATGGAGAAAAAGTTCACTCAGAGCTTCAGACTGCCCAGACACTGTATTTAAAAACCTGTTTTGTATGCTTCTCTGTAGTGGGGAGAGCCAGCAAGAGACACCTGAAAAAGACCCTAATTTGCTGATGTCACTAAGCCGTTCACCTCCAAAAATCATGTCCTTTGATGACAATGCAAACTGGACATTTGGGAAAAATAAGGTCCTGTGAACTAGTTGCCACTTCTTGACCTTGGCTTTTAAGTAGACTATTAATAATCGTACATTAGGGAACTACAAATTTACTGAGAAATACCTTCCACGCCCTTGTAAATTACCTCATTAAATCAAATTTTGACAATGTTGGAAGAGAATCTCATATGGTTATAGGTTCTCGTACGTTATCTACTGAATGCAATTACTGGCATGTTCTGCATTATAGTATTTCTTCATCGACTATATACATTATTGAATATACATTTCAATTTCTCTATCAACAATCAAACTCTTGGTATCTCAAAATATTTCAAACACAGCTAGAAAATCTAAACTAGAAAATATTCCAGTATATTGCTTTGATTAATCAGTTTTCTGGTTTAAAATATTCCAGTTAATAATCTCTGATTCTAAACCCACTGAACCTGACAGGAAAGGTGTGCTGATCGTATTGGCACGGGGCTAGAGCTTTAGACCTCCATCTCACAGGCCAGTCCCCACGGGCAGTTAAAACCTACAGCATTGGTCTAGTCAGAGCTTTATGCTTTTCTAAATTACCACAGCCCCTAGCACCAACAGCCAAAGGAGTGAGTGGAGAAACTCATGTTGATCTCACTGTTTGAGGCTCAAACACCCATGCAGTTTTTTTCCTGCTAGGAAATCATTCTGAGCTCTAATCAGGCAAAGAGTGCCCCAGGTGCAAGGTGCTCTCTTGACTAATGTACGGTCAGCATTTAATAAATTATGTGATTATTTTCAAATTCCTATCCTTGCATCATTTTTCTTGTGATAGCATTCTAATTTATGCATTATATAATGCTAGACTACTAATATTATACTTTTGGATGTGAAATAGCAACTTAAAATCGGTTAGTATGTGAAAATATTGAATATATATCAGATATATATCAGATATTGGATATATGTCATACATATATATATATTGAAAACTATGTATATAATTATGCATAAACACATATCCTGGAATAACCATAAGTACAGTATAAACATCTAGGTGTTAAACAGCTCTACCTATGTATTTAGTATTTCAGATGTAGCTCAAAACACCAGAGAGATACATGGAAGAAAAAATGTGCATCTCTCCTCCATCACTCAAAACAGTAGAGATAAAAATCATAATTATAGATTTGTTATCTTAAGAAAAATATATTCCAATTCTAACAATAAGGAGAAATGCAATGGCAGCTGCAATGCGGAAATCAAAGTTTGCTGCTCACACTTGGTATTTAATTACCAGTCCAGCAGAGGTTGGGACGGAGGAAGTACCAAACACTGCTTCATACAGACGCTTTCTAATAATTCAAAGAGGTAAAGTGCTGTGGTCCAAGAACATTCAGACTCTCCCTGCTCAGCTGAAATAAGTGCAACAGAGGGGACTTTAGAACAATGAAGTAGGGAGGAAATAATAAAAAGGGAGGGTTTCCTGAGAAGGGGTAGAAATGACAAGTAGAAATAACCAGGGGGAACATCCTTTCTTACCATAGCAAGGAGAAAGCGCACAATCACAAAACTGTAGTAGTCAAATGTGAAGGCCACTGCGATGCCAAATACAAACTGACCAGCACTTGTGAACCATATAACACGCTGTCTTCCCAGTCTGCAAATCACAGCAGTAGTAAAGTTATGAATAACCATAAACATGCCATTAAAATAAACCAGCAAAAATGGAGTTGTATTTTTTTGCAACTCCAGAAAGCCTGTCTGGAAGTGAGTCTGTAAAATACTGTACTTAATACTTTCACTCACCACAGAAACATTGGTTTAGTTACCTGTATTAATTTTTCAGAACTTCCAAGAAAAAGGAAGCTCCTATGGACGGAACTTCCATTCCACAATTCTTGGCTGGAAGCAACGTGCAGAAGTGAGAATTATATACGCTCATTTCCAGTTTCAGGTTTAACTTCTACATAACTAATCTGCAAATTTACTCTGTTATTTATGAGGACAGTAGGTAAGACTCATTTTTTTGCATATTTTATACTAAGTAATATATAGTTAATAAATTCTAACACAATTTAGCTGTGATAACACATGCCATCTGTTGCCAAACAACCAATCGGATAGTAATGAAAGGCTTCTGTAACATATCTTTGTCCACTTATTTAAAGTTGCATTCCCTTATAAATGACGATTACATAGTTCCCCTGAATTTTCTGATTGCATCACAGCACAGAAGCATGCATGTACACAGAAATTCAGGAAGATTATTTACTAACAACAAAAAAGGGTATGTCAAATACATCAACAACATCGTAATTTCCAGTGTATAAGGGCATCTAGTAAAAAGAAACTTCTATTTGTTTATCTTCTTCCCATATCTCAGGGAGAAAATATACCAAATAGAGCCAGTTCTCCCTAAACATACTAGCAATAAGAAGCTCATCTGAGGAGAAAACCTAGAAATCGGCAATATATCTACAAGACTCTATTGAGGATTCATTATATTCTATCTACAAACGTTCTGTAAGACAAAATGCATGGAATCACTTTTCTTCCCTGGTGATATTCTCTTGGACTCTTATTATCTAGTCCACTGCCAACGGCTTTTCACAGATGTGGATATTGCGTTTACTCAAGAGAGTCTGAGGACTTCCAGGGATGTGGGCTCATTTATCAGTTTTTCTTCACGAGTATTTGGTACTATATTGAACCAAACCCTATTTTTCTCCAACCTTGACCTGGAGACATGCACATTCGGTTTGTGATCCCTGCCAGAAGAGATCCCAGTGAGTCCTAGATGTCAGAGCAAATCTGTCGGAAATCTGTTAATTGGGAATGGTAGAGACCCATAAACTTACTTCCCACCAGCCAGGAGGTGTCAGAAAATAATCACTTTCAGCTGTAAAATCTACAGTTGTAAATCTGCAACTCTGAATGTATGTATTATCTTTACTGGCTGTCCATGGCTTGAATTAATGGAGATCAGAACAATATGATCATAACCTTATAAATCAGATCTGAATATTAATTAATAAAGCTATGAATGATTTTAAGGGATGCAGAACAAATGTTGGCACTATATTCTGGTTTTATATTAAATACAGTTTTACAAAGCCTTGGATCAGGAAGCAGGATTGAGCCCATGTGTTCTGAAAGCCAAATTAAAAAAAGATCATCTTTACATTCCCATGTTGTAACTATCCCACCACAGCATTGTGCTAATGAAGGAAAATCGGAAAATTACATGGCTGGTCTCCTTTTTCTGCTTATACTGTTAACTGCGGGATAAAACGTCACCCTCCACCTGATAGAGCTCTTAGTCAACAAGCTCATTTATAGAAAGAGATAAATAACACTAAGCAAGCATTCAAAGCAAAACACAGATATATAAACTGCCTGAGACAAAACCAAGTACAACATAGTCTAGGTGTTTGATATGGATAGAGGGGCATAGCTGGATGTTCTTCTCAGGTAGGAATGTGTGTGCTTGTGTTGGGAGAGAAAACCAAGAGAAGCAGGATACAGATGTACAAACTGAATCTCTCTAATGCTTCTGAGACCAGCTCTGATGCTGGATCTCAGTGCGTGGTCTGAGATAACACCCAGGGAGGAAGTGCTGGAGGTGAGAGGGCTGAAGGACAGCCTTAGCACCGTGAGCAAGAGACAGCAGGTTGAGTCCCTCCATGGACTGACTCTCCTCATACTCAAACAGAACTTTGTATGTGCTGGTTAAGTAAGTGAAATTACAGCTCAGCTCACTGACAACCGTTTTTCCTCCCATCTGGAGTAACCTTCAAGAGACTAAAGTTTAAGTTAACCATTCAGTAAAAAACTACATTTGGACAGCAAGGAAAAATACTGTATAGGTATTTAGTTTAAGAACACAGGGCATGATCAAAGCCTTGCATCAGCCCCACAGAGCTCTATTCATGACAGAGGTTAAGAAATTTGTGATTTTGAAATACATTATTTTTAACCTTGCAGTAGCCTTTCAGCTGTTTATCATATCCAGAAGTAAAAAATTATGCTACCATAAGGAATCTCTCCTCATGGAAAATGAGGTGAAAATGTACTCCCAGATTTTACTGTTGCCATTACTACTAACTATTGCTATTCCTGTTAAAACAAAGAGCCTAAAATACTAGCAGCACAGAGCGATGGCCTAGAACAATTGATGGTATGAAGTAGGGAAAAAAATCTAAAAGCAAATGATTTGTGAATACATTTTAAAATAGTATCAGAAAAAGAAATTAAGTTAAACATAGCTGTGCATGAAACAATATCCAAACTTCTGAATTAAGTGTACATAATTATGAATACATGATGAATGAGAACAACAAACAGGTAGATACACGTGAAGCTACTGCAATCTGAAACTACAATTTTCACAGGATGGCAATTTACCTGTCAGCAATGTCACCAAAAATCACTGCTCCAAACAAGACTCCAAGCATGAATGTAGGCTGGATTAATTTTGCAAGCCATTCTCGGTCACAGACCAGATCCCACTGTGTAACAACAGTGCTCTTCCACTTCGTATCATCATAGAGAAATCCATCAGAACAAGAAAATACGGACTTGTTGCCTTCATATTCATATGTCAGATCCCAAGTGACTTCTCTTTTGGACCTGCTGCACTGATCAAGTTCCCAAATTTCTCCATTTTCCAGCTGGACCACAATGTAATTTTCTGCTGATGCCCATAGTGTCCAGATGTCCTCTATTCTTGATTCAGAGGAGTTGTGGAAAAGAATAGTACTCACATTTCCAGGGATCCCACATACAAATTTAGGAGTAACAGCCATGAACACAGATGCTAAGTAATGGATACCACACGACATAGCTTGAAAGACGGTTGCAAAATAAACACATGCTTGAAATCTGTAAAGGGAAAGAAAAACGTTTACTAAAGAAAAGCCCTCTATACATGAAAAAAGAATAAATCAACATAATTATTTTGCTAGGATCAGTAAATGAAGACATCATTCAAGTGTCTAGTATTTTGTTACGTAGTGCTGCTTCAATATCATCTAAGCCCTGTAAGAGACCAAAGATGAGAAAAGATCCACAGTAATCTATTGTCAGGAAACAATGCTACTTTTAGTCATGTGTTTAGCCATACACAGAGATCATTTAAAAAGAAACAATTCTGAATTTAAGCACTTAGTTTGAAGCAACCTTACACCCTTTCAATTCTGTGCAGTACATTCCCTCAAAATAAGGCCTTAGATTACTTGAATAGTCAGAAAAACCTCAGGTTCTGAGGGATGGAGATACGTGCATCAAATAAAACAAACCAAACACATTATGCACTTCATTTCACCTAATTTATCCATATAACTGTGTTCTGTCTGTCTTCCGTCTCTCTATATTGCCTCTAAAAGACAAAGAGAGCATGCATGTAGACACATGTAGAGGAAGATAGAATCTGAACAGTGTGAAATGTTTGGTACCAAAACATAGCTGTAAACTGGGTTGGGTTTTGTCTTAAACAGGGTGTGCAGTTAGCCATTAAAGATTGTATCATAAAGCAAATGTGGTAAAAGAATGTTTTATGCATAGCCTGAGCTTTGGCATTTTAACAGCTTTTAAAACATGCTTGACATGCAAGTAAATCTCAGCATATTAATTGCACATGTAATCTGATTTTTGAAAGACTTGCAATGAAGTCTAGTATCTGCAAATTCTAGACAGTTTCTGATACTCTAAGCATAAGGAGACTTCCCAATTAAATGTGAAAACTATGCACTTAATTAGTACATCTGTTCAGCAAAAACAACATAGCTTTGTTTTCTCCTCCACTTTTTATTTTCTGAAGGCAAATCAATTGTACTAATTGAAGATGCATGCAGTGAGCTTCTATATGTACATCCTTACTGCAGTACATGGTGGGCCTTGCTAGTATGAAATGAAAAGCAGCTTTTTTTTTAATTATCAGAGGCTATCTCTGCTGAAGTTATAGGAAATGGTGCCTAAAAAATAATTGCCTTGAAATGTCTTATGGGAAAAGTCAGAGCAATTCCAGTCCCCATAACAAACGTGACCTCTAGATCACTCCTCTCCAAAACAATCTCCAAAATCTACCTTTGAATTCTCATAATTACAATTCCAGCAGTATCTAGCCTAGGACTTTTAAAACATCTATCAGCACAATTTCTAACCAATTTCTGAACTATCTATAACCAAAGTATTTAAATAGAATTTGCTGAATGCACTGTCTTAATGTCCAATTAACTCCTGCAATTAAACAGTTTTCTCGTATAACATAACTGCATTCTCCATCCTCATTCTCCTTTGTCTTTTATCTTATGATTCTTCTGTCTTTCCTTGGTAAATGTAAACCCAGTTGCCCATCATGTCTTTCCAATAGCATTGTTGCTCTTCAGATGCAGCATTTTGTATCCCCTTTTCTCTTGACAACAGCTCTATTAAGTTATCCATAGCAGTCTGAGGAGAGGGTTGAATTGCCAAACCCATCATGGCAGTCTAAAATCTGGCTCCACTTCCCTCTTGATGACACTGCAAGGCAATCTCACAGGGGTGCTATGCTGCTTTTTCCCAACAAACCTTGTGAGAGATATGGTAAAGAGAAACTAAACATACCACAGCATCCCTTAAGCCCATCAATCCCCTCTCAAGAGAACAGCTTCTTGAGGACTAAGTAGATAGCCATAAATATCAAGGCAAGGCAGTTCTGAATGGCTTTGAGACTATCTTGGACCACAAAAAAGCAAAGGTTATATGAAATGTAAACTCTGTTGCTCTATTAATACAGACAAATATGGTCAACAACAGGTTTTAGTTACTCTTCTCTAGTTTCATCTCAACTGTTCCCATCAAAAGTCAGGAACACATTTTAAAAATAGCAAAGCGAGACCAAAAATCAACAACTTTGGCTGTTGTTGCAGTATGCAGAATGACTGAAATCAGGACTAGAAGGCCTCTAGCGAAGTAGCAGATTAAACCCCTAGAACCTGTGCAGTTACATCTTCTACTACTATCTAATAAAAAGTGGCATACCTGGAACCAGGATCCCCAGTATTTACAGCATCTGTCATTATGCATCAGGAAACTGCAATTCCCAGTTGGTATTTCTCAGACAGAGGAAGAATGAACCAATTTCAAGCTCCCATGCGTTCTTCTTGCATTCCTAATTAGCTCTTGCAGTACAAGAAATACAAGGAAATATCATTTCTCTTCCACCCAGTGAGAGTGAGCAGGACAATTATATTTATGCCATTTCTTGTTGGAGAGGCTTGAAAGAAGATAACAGCTTCTAAGGAGGCAGTGTGAGAAGATGGCATGAACCAATGCACCACACTAATTTTTAAAACCCAAATCCCCAGTGCATCATCAGGGCTCTGATTTGGATCAGGTCTAGCTAATCTCTACACTAACTGCTCCCTTGAGGGTTTCATTTTATCTCTTCCTGAACGATGCTTGTGAATCATACTTTAATAACCATTTTGACAGACTGCTCCACTGTCAAATCTTTCTGTTGGAAAGTTTCTCATTAAGTCTAATCTTGATGTCCCTTTTTACAGTGTAAGATTATTAGCAGCTTATAAAACATCCTTGTGCAACCTTAAATAGATCTTCACTGTCTTTTATAATTTTTTGTACAGATTTATCGGTTATTCTCTTCTCCTTACTTTCTAAAACTACATGAATTACAGTCACTAACCCTTTCCTCATTTTTTATTTGTGTCACATAGATCAGTTTCCACCTCTATAAAAAGCAATAAGGGATTTATTTTAAAGAAATATCTGTGTCATGCCATATTTCATTCATCTTTCAAGGGTTTAAGATATAACTGATTCTAGTAAAAATGTTCTTCCATTTTCTTTTTCCTTATTCAGTTCCAATGAAGAAATCCACTCGGCAGTTACCATTATTTTTCTCACCTAATTTGCAGCATCTATGCTAAGCAAACAAAAAAAGTCAAACAGAATGCCACATACACAATAATAGACAATTTATGCTGTTTATGAATTCAATTAAGAACAGGAAAGCATGTTTTTTATAGCAAAATGGTCATGTTGTTGCAGAATCCTGCAAGGTTGATTGAACTGCAGTTTTTAGCCTCTAAATGCTCAATAAAAAAAGCCAAGGAGTAGTCAGGGAGAGCAAGAATAGGGGACAATAAGGCCTGATATGAAGCTAGAAAAGTGTTTGGCAGCACCAGTGGCTGGAGGCATCCCAAACCACACAAGCAGGCTGCTACTGCACTAATGGGCTGCTCCCCTGCCTGCAAAACCTATCTACTGCTCTCTCCAGTAAAATTCCACATTGGGCTGGGCTAAGCCTCGCTCTGTATAGATATATATGTAAGAAACACACACATTCTGAAAGCCCTCTTTTGCTCTGAAGGCAAAATTCATTGCTGACTACAGTAGACATGAACTCATCCCCACTAGATGTTAGATTGTAAAGCTCAACATTATGAGCTGTTGAGACTCTCCTGTGGGTGGGAAAAGCTTTTCTAGAAAGGCCAGTTGCACAGAGGTCAGAAAATTTTTTAACTTGCATAGTTACCAAAAAGGAATTAGTTAGGCAATTAGTGCAAACATAAAGAAAGCATGAAAAGTATGTAGGGAGGATGATATGCGGGATGGAAGAATACTACAGATGCATTGAACTTTGCTTTCCAGAACAGCTAAAGATTGAAAAGGAACAGAGAGAGACACAAGCTTGGCCTCATGGCAGACTTCACTTTGCTAGAACAGAGGCTGATGCAGCAGACAGTGCTGAGCACAGAGGAACATAAAGCTTCTGCCTGCTCTATTGCTAGCTTGGGACCCCTCCTTTTGGACCTTTGGGTATATGATTTTTTCCCTCAGCCCTCTTGTCTGTGGCCATGTCAATGTTCTTCCCTAACCTTAAAACCCCAGGGTCATAGCTTCTCTTCCTTGTGGGAGGACTTGGTGTTGGGGGAGCACAGCCCTCCTGCCTGGGGAGCCAGGAGCAGCCCCTGTGCAGGCTTCGCTGGGTCAGGAGGTCTCAGCAGAACATATACAGGTCATACACTTCACTGACACTGAGGCACAGGTTAAAGTCTATGCTATCCTTGATACCTACTGTAAATTATTAACTCTTTTCCTGAATTCTTAAGAACACCAGACTGATAAGGAGCTCCTTTGTTACTAAGCTTAAATCTGTTACAGGCAAACATAATAATCCTTATATAATCCTTTTAGTAACCTCACCAAACTCCATTCTGAAGTTACATTTCCCTGAAAAAAAAAGAAATACTGCTGGTCATGCATCAGAATTGTATGAAAATACCATTGCAGCAGTAATAGATACTCCTTAAATTCACCAAAAGAAAGCAAAGTCTGTGATCTGCTTTCCTGGGCTGATCTCAAAAGGGCAGTTTTTGGCAATTTATAAATTTATAAACCAGTTATTTTCACATGCACCCACCAGATTACATAACACATATTGCTGCAACCAGTAGTTTTCAATAACCTATTTTACAGACTCTTTAAAAAACCCCACACTTTTTGCATTTTTTAAGATCTGTAAACATGATGACTGTCCTAAAAGGTATGATAATCTCTCCCAGTGTTTTTCCATCTCTTCAGTGACTTGCCATGGAAGATAATTATTTGGCAAGCACATTTTGTCACTCTTGCCAAGAGTGTCAAATATAGAAGTCAAGAAGACTTTGTAGGTTACTGCTCTAGTATAGAGACTCCTAATGAATGCCAGAAGTCAAATGAGCATAAAACTGTCTTCACAAAAGCTTGAGCAAGACACAACATGAAAATGTTCAGTCTTTCTTAAAATATTTTTGAGAAATTTCTTCCCCATTTTTCTTTTTTTTTTCAGTTTACAGCTTATAGTAAAAAAGACTTTCACATTTTCTGACTTCTCCTC